TCTCTTTTTTCTGTTTCTTTTGCCAGTTCAGCTTTTCCACAGTTTTACTTATCAACTTTATATGAGTAACTTTCAGATTCATTTCTCTGATATTAACTTTTTGAAAGACCCATATCAGCACTTCCAACTGGTTTCTGGATATCATTCACTCACTCACTCATTCATTCATTTATATTCATCATGAACCTACTAAGAGATAGCTACTACGCTAAAGCTATGAAAACAGTAGTGAAGAAAACAAAGACCCTGTAGAGCTTACACTCTAATGAGAGAAGGGAACAAGCAAATAAAAAAGACATCCAGTGGTCATAAGTGCTATGGAGAAAAAGCAAATCAAATAAGAGGATAGAGAGTTATGGGAAATGTAGCCACAAATTTAGACCAATAATCAGTGAAATCTCTACGTACAATGACACTTAATCAGAAATCCAAGGGAAGTTAGAATGAAAACCACGTTCATGTTTGGGGGCAAAGTGTTCTTACAGAGGTAACAGCCTGAAGTCCTGGGAACAAATGTGATGGGAGTAAAGTGAGCAGAAAACATGCTGTCTCCTGCTCTCTCTTTCTTTCTTATCTCTCTCAATATAGAGAAGCAACACAGATGCCCTTGATATTGAGAGAGACTGAGAGAGAGGGAGTGGGGAGAAAGAGAGAAAGGCCTGGAGAAAGAGTTATAATGATACCTCTTTGACCTAACTATTCAGATATATATATATGAATGGTAAGATCATAGAGGTGTCATATTCATATATTCATGTGAATATGACATAGTGTATATGTATATTGTATATATACTGACCTCACTGTTCATTATACATGTGAATAGTGAGGTCAGTATATATACAATATACATACAGTTCATACAATATACAGTATACATGTTTATACAAAAAATATACACACAGTATTATGTTGTATACATATACACATTAGTATTTGCATATTGTATATAGTACATATTTTGTATATAGTATATGTTATTGTATGCATATCATATGATATTATAATCTTACCACCTTTTACACACACACACACACACACACACACACGCACACAGTGTACATATAGAAATATCAGGTCAAAGAAATTTTAGGGTCTCATATCACAAAACACCTTGTGGGCTATAGTAAGGATCTTGACCTTGACTTTTTCTCCAAATTAAAGAAGAAGGTATAGGAGAGTTTTGAGCAGAGAAATACAATAAATGACGTATACTTGCAAAGGAACACTTTGGCTGCTTTGTGAAGAAATGACCGAATGTTCCTAGGTGTGAAAGCAGTTAGACCTGTTAAGAATGTGACATATTTAGACTGCAGAGAAGACTAAATTAAAAAAAAAAGAATGTGACATAAAATTTAATAATGGAAAAAAAGATGAGAGCTTGTACAGAAGTGGCAATGATGAAGGCTTTAAAAAGTGGAAAGATTCAGGATCTATTTTAGAGGAAAGCCTGAGAGAATTTCCTGAAAGACCTGACTTTGGTATGAAAGAGAGTAGACAAGGATGACTGGGCCATAGATGTTGGTTGAATGGAGTTTTCATTCAATATGAAGCAAAAACTGGGTTGAACAGGTTTTGAAGGCTGGGGATATAAAGAGTATAGCCGTGAACATGCTAAATATGAAATGTATCTATTAGGCATATGAGGGGAAATATTGATTACATATTTAGATATGTGAGTCTGGACTTCCAAGATGAAATGAAGCAAACTAAAACATGCAGTTTGTTAACAAACATATATTTAAATAAAAGTTCCCAGACAGAATGAGCTATGTAAAGATTAAGTATAGATAAAGAAGAGAAATTCAGATGTGAGGGCCGAGCTCTGGGACACTCCAAAGTTTAAAGGTGAGGAAGATAGGAAGAGATTATAAAGAGGGACTGAAATATAGAACAGTACGTGCAGGTTTCAACAGAGAATGAACAAGTACTTCTAAAAAGACTGGGAAATTGACCATTGAGTTTATCAATATGAAAGTCACTATTTTTCTTGACAGGAAATTAAAAGGCTAGTGCAGTGGTGAATGTGGGCTTCCTTGGGAGGTATTCAGAGAGAGCAGAATAAGAGGTGGAGATAGGAAGAAGAGCAACTTTTTCATGAAGTTTTGTTGTACAAGGGAGGTGAGTAAAGGGGAAGAGCCTGGTGTTTCCTGGATGGAATGTGAGTCCAGAGGTGCCACTTTTTTTTTTAAGGATAAGGAGAAATAATGCAGTATTTTCATTCTCATGGGACCAATTGATAAAGAGGGCAAAGCTGATGCAAGAGAGACGGTAACCTTCGGTGTGATAGCCTTATGTCCTTGCCTATGTGGGAAGGTTGGGATTGAGGACATTGGTTTTAAGGAGGCAACATTGATGCAACAATCATTCTAGCAGAACAAAAAGCTAAGCGAACACAGATGTAAGCAGATGATTAATTCAATGATGAAAAAATGTGAAGTTCTCCTTCATTACTTTTAATTTCTCAGTGAAGTAAGTGGATTATCAACTGACAGTGGGGAGGGAGAGGAGATTTGGAGATTTGAGGAGAAAAGAGTATCTGTAAAATAATTATCTAAGAGAGCAACTATTGAAAGTTTTTGACAGAAACACAGAATTAGAAATAACACTGTCCAGGATGTAAATACATAAGAACATGCACGCACACACACACGCCCTGAAACAAGAGTTTCAGGAGATACTACCCTTCTTTCACTTACTGTCACTTCAATTCTCCTCTATTTTATTCACAAAACATGAGTAGTGACTCAGTACACAATTTCATGACACACTAACAGGCTGCAATGTGCAGTTTGAAAACCATTCATCTAGAAAACTTAAAGAGATTTTTGTATAGAAATATAACAGGATTCCTGAGCAGCAAAATAGGCCTACTTAAGAATAGAATGTGAAGTGAGAATGATCAGCATAATCAACTAAAATCATTATGCATTTCCCATCCCTAATTATTCCTCCTGCTGAGATCTCTATTCTCAAGTCTCCTATTCTTTAGCAACTCAAATTTCAGACCCACCACTTTTTCTCCCATATGTCACTTCTTTAGATTCATTCATTAAATTGATTGCAAAATTAAAATGATTCTGCCTCTAAGCTCTCACCAGAATCTCTTTCTTTGTATTTCCATTGGCTTTACCATAATTCTAGCCTTTATTGCTTTTCTCTCCATCTTATATTTTGTTTTTTTGTCTTATTATAATAATAATGGCTGTTCATTATAACAAACGTATTTTTTAAAGACAAGTAATTAAAGAAAATAACCACAATCTCACTATTTAAAAGAATTTTCTAGCTCCGCTTGTTGGTATATATACTTTGTCATTTTATATATATTACATATATATATATATATATATATATATATATAACATATATATGTAATATAATTTGTCTTATAATTGTACATATAGAATTATATAATCCCATCTTGTAGTATTCCTCATTTTTAACATAACACATTGTGACTTTTTATCCACATCATAAGGTGTTTGGCAAAATCACATTTAACAAGCTACAGAGTGTTCTGTTTATTAATCTAAAACACCAAGCGTTCAGTGTTTTAATCTAAACCATTTTGTTGAATTTGTGCAGTAATATGCATGTACTTCTCCGGTCTTGGACTATAGGGTGCACAATTTGTCAAGAACCTCAGCTGCTGTGCTCTGAAATGGATTCATTACTTGGTTTGCTGCAAGTCCATACTTCCCAGTCAATACTTAAATACAGTTAAGGTACTTAGGCTCATTCCTGGGAGATGTGGGATTCCTCTGACTAGTGACTTTGGCTTGAGATCTCCCTGACAGCCTTGCAGACTTTTCCAAAGAACCACGCACAACTTCCCATCTTCATACCCTGGGGATCAGATCTGCATGAAGTCTGAAGGCTCTCCCTGCTTCTCCCATTTGCCCCTTTTCCATTTCTCTGAGAGGTCTATTTCCCCTAATTTCTTGTACACTTAACCCCATTTTGGCATCTATGTCTCAGAAAACCCAGACTAACAGAGATATTTAGATTGTTTTCAGATTCTTATTCTGTATAACCAGACTAAGCTTCTGAATGCTCAACTTTGAGAACAGTTTTCTTTAGTCAAGAGCCTTTGAAGGTATTGCCTTTGTCCACTGAATTAAGCCCAAACCCTTCTTCCCTCTATACTCTGCCCTTGCCCATGTTTCCAATCACCCCTCCGTGTTCTAGTCTACTCCAGTGCTGGACTCTCCCACTCCTCACTTCATGCCTAAAGAGAACATCTACCTCGCTAGATACCTTCTTTATTCTGGATCCCTTCTTGACTTTTTTTTAAACTTCCATGTTCGTTTCTCTTCATTTCAAAGACTATAGAGAGGTGTTTTATGCAGTGTTTTCACTCTTCTTGGTAGGTTAAAAGAGACTCATTGGTGAGGGATATAGAACGTGGAATCAGATCTGCTTTGTTATATTACCAACGTTAAAAGAACAAAACACTGAGATTGCATATGTTTGGAAAACACTGAGCTAAACAAAAATAATTTAAGCATTTATACTTATTTTTAATCACAAAACTTCTCAGAGCACTTAAAATGTTAATACATGCTGTGATTTTCCAGGGCCAGCACTGTTAACTTATGTCATTTATCCCAGATTTGACTACAAATTCTTTTAAAAAACAAAGTACCGCTTCTTGGAACACAGGGAAAAGCCAAAGCTGTCATTGCATTTTGCATGTTTGATTTTCACAGTACTAAATATTCTTCACTTACGGTCATTTGTATATTTTTATCCATTTTTCTCACTTTAGCGTTTTGCATAAGATATTGAAAATAGCAGGCACTTGTCGAATTAAAAATCATGGAATTTAAGTGTAGGATCATGTTCTGATAATACTTGGCAATTGGAGAAAGTTAGTTTGCACCGTTTTTCAGTAGCTTTTTGGAGTCCTTTTCATACCATAGTTATGTGGGCTTTGAGGCTGGGAAAATAAGTATCTTGGTGCTTACAAAAAGCCCTTATTAAACATGGGCAAAACATTTTTTTTTTCTAAAAATCACTTTATTGGAGTAGTATAACAGAAAGAAATATAAAGATGGTAGTGATTTTAAGGACAAGACAGCAGGAGACATCTGACTCTGGTCTACCCATTGACCTGGGAGGAAGGCAGCCCCTGGCTTAGTTCTGCTTGTTTTCATTTCCAAGAGTATGTTTATCAAAAAGGTACTCAGCCAGGCCAGCATCTGGGGCCCCCATCTTCACTAAGTTGTGCACGTGGTCACCTAGTTCTTTGATAGACTTCACCTGCTCATTCAGGTAATAGGTTTCCAGGAAGTCGCACAAATGGGGGTCACCTTTGTCTGAGGCCAGAGTGTGCAATTCCAGCAACGACTGGTTCACATTCTTTTCCAAGCGCAGCGCACACTCCATGGCATGCAGCCCGCTTTCCCAGTCGTCCTGGTCTGGCTTCTTAATGTCCTGCAGGCAGATCCGGCCCCCTCGCTGGTTCTGCAGCCTCATCAGCTTCTCTGCGTGCGCAGTCTCCTCCCGGGACTGGTGAAGGAAATACCTGGCGAAGTTGTTCAAGGCCACATCATCCCGGGAGAAGTAATAGGCCATGGACAAGTACACGTAGGACGCATAGAGCTCGAGGTTGATCTGGCGGTTGATGGCAGCCTCCGAGTCAGGATGGAAATTCTGGCGCACCCGAGAGGGGCCGGCGGCGGTCCCGGTAGGGTAGCGGGAAGAGGCGGCTGCGGCCAGTGGGCGGCAGGGGGCGATCGGCCAGGGGTCCGAGGGCCGCCCCGGGGTCCAACGCAGCCGGAGCGCGAAGCAGCGGCGCACGGAGCGCAGAGACGCCGGCGAAGGGCTGACGTGCCTGGAGAGGAGTCCGAAACAGGACAGCATGGCACCGCCTTCTGGAAGTGGGGAAACTGAGGCCCGGCCCTCTCAAAGCGCGGTCAAGCACTCGGGGCCTCGAGTCTGAACTAGAACGCGGGCCTAGGCAACGACGGCTGCATCACAGGCCCCTTCTCTTCCAGAGTGGCGAGATTCCACGCGGAGAGCGCCGGGGATCCGTGTGGGTCCCGGCCGAGAGGGAGACCAGCGCGGATGCCCCGTCACGATTCCGTGAGCATTCGCCCCCACCATCGACGCGAGATGTCTGCTCTTCGGCGTTTGTCACTTATTTCACCTGCTTTTAAAAGGCTGCCAGGAGAGTAGGCACTGGGACTTCCCCAAAATGGGACCAAGCTGCACTCCCGCTTCTTCTCTGACCTTTTCATAAGGACCAAGGGCCTGGCGGGCAACACAGTGAAAAGGGTGAACCAAAAGTCATCAGCTTACCTGTGAAAGTAAAGGTCTACATCCAAAGCAGGTGTACATAAGTTAACTGGTTACTTAACTTTTAAGTATGGAAACAATTGCCGGCATAGTGGGCAAATTTTTAAGACTGTTTCTTCTAAAATACATGTATAGTTTACTTTTGAATATAAAATGTATCTTCATTGTAAAGAAATAGGATACCACAGAAACCCTAGGAGGAATAAACTGCCTCTGAACTCAAAATATGTTACTTTCCCATCTTCTATTAATGCAGAGATTATATCCTTTTAGAAATGGCTCTTTAAAATGAAACTTTAAATAACATTTAGTGTTAAGATAATATTTACATGAATGTTGTAGGGTACTGAAAAGTTAAGGATGAGCTCACAGAAGAAAATGCAAAACATTCCCAATTCGTCTTCTGCCTGGAGATTACCATTGTTAAAATGTTGATGGTAATGCTCAGAGGTTTTTTTTTAAAATGAAAAATGTGTTTTATAGACACACAAAAATGAATATACACATATAAAAACAGCTTTATATAGAGAGATAATTGACGACAATAAACTGCAGATGTGCATATTTCATGTAAATAGGGTCAAGTATGTACTCCTTTTTACCTACTTTCTTTTACTCAGGATATATTTTAGGATCCATGCATACTGTAACTTGTTTCAGTAGTTCCTTTTATTGCCGAGTAGTATTCCGTTGTATGGATATTCCACAATTTGTTTATCCTTTCTTCTGACAATGGATATTTTGGTTGTTACAGTTTTGTCTATTAAAATGAAACTGTTATAGATATTCCTGTACAAGTCTTTCTGTGGTCAGATGGTCTCATTTCTCTTGGCAAAATACCTTGTAGGAAAAGCTGGATATGATAGATGTATGTTTAATTTTTAAAGAAATTTCCAGACTGCTTTCCAAAGTGATTATGCCATTTTACATTCCCATCAGCAGAATGTAAGAGTTCAAGTTTCTTAACATTTCTTGCTTACACATGGTATTGTCAGTCGTTTAATTTTAATTAAAATTTAAAAATGTCTAATGAGTGTGTACTGATGTTTCAATATGTTTTTAATTTGCATCTCCATAGTGATTACTGATGCTCAGTATGTTCGCACCTGCCTTCTGTCAACCACATATTCTTGGTGAAATGTATCTTCAAAGCTTTGCCCATTTATATATTGAGCTATTTGTTTTTGTTATAGTTGTTTGATTCTTATGGTTGTCATCTGGGTCTTGTTATCGGTACTGCTTCTATTCAGGTCTTCTTTGTGTTATCTGTATATTATTTTCTCTATGTTACTTTCTTTTATTTTCTTGGTCAGCTCAGATTGTCTTTCTAGGTTAGTTGCCTCACTTGTAAATTTAGGAAACCACTTAACTTCCCATGAGTGGTTGAAATAACTAAATAAGAAAATGCATACAGAGCATTTATCACAGTGCTTGACACAGGATAAGCACTTGGAATACCCCTTAATAGTTTTTATTGGATAATTCCTGTTTAATTATTCAAAATTAATTATCTGAATTATTCAGTAAGCAAGTATTATTATTGTTGAATATGAAAAGACCTTTACAGTTTACAAAGGTTGTTTACAGATATTGTATTGTTGCTATTATGTATGGATAGTGAGGTGAAAATTCTTATATTCTATGGGAATGTCAAACTTGTAGTTTAGTAGTAAGCTCCTTGCTCTCAGATAACTTCTTAAAAGGTACTGTAAATAAAAGGGATGCTTAAGATCTAGTTGCTCTTAAACTTTGCTACTAGAAGGTGATTGGTATTAGCCAAGCAATTTCTCACTGGTTTTCACTTCTCCATAGTCATCTTTACTTTTATTTTCCCCTCAATTTTTCTCTTCCTAAAATGTAGTTCCCTGAAGAAAAGTTATAAAAATGATTGTTTAGAGTAGTATTAAATGCTGACTGCTGCTACTAGCATTTTAGGAAAATTGATGCTGTTCATATAAATGTTTATCCCCTGGGTAATAGAATGCATAGACTAAAAAACAAATGTAATACATGAAATGCAATGCAAAAATGCCATTAAACACAATTCACACTTAAGTAACATGTTAATTTGTCAAAAATATTCCTTCTTCCTATTACAAAATTTGTCATATGATTTGCTAGACTTAAAAAATACAAGAATGTGATATGTCTTATGTTTATCTTATGGGCATTTTTGATTTCTAGCATTTATAGTAAAATTAATGTTCTAAAAAAAATACAAACCTAGATCATTGCCCACCACTCTTCACAACTCATTTCTTTCTTTTTTTAATTAATGCCTTTCTCTCTTTCCCCAAAACACTAATCTTTCATGCTTCTCTGAATTTCTGTCTGAATTTTCTCTCTGCTTCTTCACTTTGCACCTGGAACTCATCCTTCCAACCTCTTTTCCTTCTTTTATCAAATATATTACCTTTTCTGTAACATCTTATATAGCATCATTCAGAATTAGTCATTACTTTGTATTTGGTGTCTTAATACTTTGCTTATATCAGGAGCATATAGTATTGCTATAATTCCTTGTATATACATGTGTAAATATGTGTATATGTGTGTGTCCTTAAGGCCAGAATCTACCACTTATTCATTTTTAAATCCCCAGGCCCCTACAGCTTAACATATATTAAAAAATGAACACTCATAAATGCTTTAAAAATGTCCAAATAAATTAGAATAGAAATTCTTATTTTGTATAGTATACCAGTTTAGCCTAATGCACTTTTATAAAGTATATCAGGAGAAATCTTTACTTTAAATTATTTGAGGCTTTGCATAAAATCTCTGTACTTAGAGGTATCATCTCCAAAGGAATAAAAATATTTACTCATTTCTCATTTGTAGATATATTAGGCACTTATTGATGATATATGTGAAAATACTTTATCAAATGGGAAATTAACTATATGAATGTGGATTTTTAAATTAAGTCATGTTTTGGTTTATGTAATATATAGATTACATTTTATTATATTAGTTACTTGAAAGCACTTGATTTTAAACACTAAACATTTTTTAGAATTTACATACCTTGGAAAATCTTTGAAGAATATGTGACTCTTTTATGTTAATAGATGGGAGCAGAGTCATGAACAATGAAGAAAAAATGTAGAAACTAACTTGACCCCTTTATATTTGCATTTGTAATGAAGACATTTATCTCTTTTTCTCATTTTTTAAAATCTCTCTTTTATATAACAAAGTTAGTCATGTAAGCATCTCTTCATTTTTATTACTGACCTTGGTCCCTTCTAAAATTACTTTGTGTCAGAAGCCTATAATATGATGAAGCCAGGGTGGAGATAGGTTCATTGATCACTATGGATTATTCACTTGCTCTTAATGGAGTATTTGAGGGTTTTGAATAGAAAACAATAGAGAGTTTGTTTTCTATTTTTGAGGAAAAGAAAAAGCGTGTAATGTATATATTGCTCTTATATCACTAGGAAATCTCTCAGAATTCTGAAGAGAGTGGTTGGACTTAGCTATGGAGTACTTTTCTTTGCCTTATTCTGGGGTCCACTGAAAACTGGGAACCTTTTAGGTAAGAACCATAAATGAGTCAGAACCAAACTCCCAAGTGTAGTACATATTGCCTTTAAAACCAAAAAAGGTCTAGCAAATTTTGCTTTATTCATTCATTTTCTTCATTTTAGGGATGGAAGTACAAGGTGCAATAACTCTTTACCTTAAAAGAGATATTAACATTCCCTAAACCATTGGACTCTTAAAACTTCACCAAAATCCCAGTCTTTGATTACCTTCCACCATCTTAGCTGACTATCCAGAGTACTTTTTCACTTATCAGATCTATTAACTTAGTGCCATCATTCCAATATGGTGGAATGTTCAAATGAGCCTGTTGTCTTTAGATTTATAATGACAGAGAGAAGGCACATTAGTGTATCTCTAGAGCAAGACTGTGACTATACACTGCTGCCTGTCCTAGATGGATGTAAACTACCTCATATGCTCCTTCCTAATGAATACTGGAAATTACATATGGACCTGGATCAAAATTCACGTACCACGAACTGGAAGCATAGTTGGTCTGTTTTAGTAAAGATGTCACACCCAGAATAACAGTTGTGATTTTGGATACTACTTGGACCATCTACTGTGCTTCACTAATATTCTTTTTTTTTTTTTTTTTTTTTTTTTTTGCAGAGTTTGGATTGGTGAATTAAATGATGATAGAGTGGGAACCAATGCCCCTGCCTCATTTAAGTCTTTAGGAGTAAAATTAGCCTCTGCTATTCCAAATAGGACGTGGAACTAATTAGTCTGAAGAACTTTGATAAATGGGAAGTTTCAGGGGCTTTTTCTTGAGTTTTCTGTGGAAGTTTTTACTCCATATGTCAAGGAATCAATGTGAAGGTCTGCTAAGTATATTCATTCCAATTATGCATTTAGGAACTGAGATGATGGCAACTGGTAGGGCATGGATATACTGCATCCATAGTGAGATAATGCTGGGGCAGGACTTCATTTGTCACATGTCTTCCTCCCTCTACCCTTATTGTAATAGTGGGCTGTGGTGGTGCTTTTGGGTCTCTGGATATCAGCATCAGTTGGACTTTGTATCCAACAATTCTCAAAGAACTGGGTACTTTTCTTTCTCCAGTGTATTATTACACTAGC